TAACCGACGGTTAAAATTAGCAGGGTGGCCAACAGAAAATAGGAAAACCAGAAAACCAAGCATTCTTATCATTTCAGTTGGAACCCTGCTAATTTTAACCGTCGGTTAGTGCCGGTCTACAATAGGTGATTAAGCCTTAACATACTTGACTATGATTGGTCAATTTCTTAAAGCTTAAAACTTAAATCACCTATTGTAGACCGGCACTTAATCTAACCGAGCTTGGTGAAATTGGCCCTAATTCTGAGTTCTGACTGGTGAATTATTTGCAAGAAAAACATTGAAATATAACGCTATAATGAGTGTAACTTAGCGTAGCGAAAGAGTATGCTATGCTACATGCGAGCGAGAGAGAACGCAAGGGGCACGGAACAGAGTATGTCCTTTTCTACGTCTACGTGCACCTTGGCCACCACTCCTCAACACTCGGTCTAGATATACTATGTCTATGGACTCAACCCTAGTCAGAATATATGATTATTAATTCTTGGCTTGGCCGCACAACGGATTTTATGTCTATGTATTTTACATGTCTATGATTTTATAAATCTATGATTAAATCTTTGGCTATATACCTGCTAATGGACAGCCATTGTGCGATCCAAGATCTCAGCGCCGCCAGGACTCAAATGGCCAAGCCAAGGACTAAGGGCCGTGGCACATAGCTCAACAGTTGTATCTTCTGAACGCACCCATTGCTTAAATGGGAAAAGTGGGGGTCGTTAGCAGTTCATAGACTCCATAGGTATATAGTCAAAGGGAGCATCATTTACTCTAGTGCGAAAATTCGAGGACGACAGACTCACACTAGAATCTAGGGTCTAGAGTTTAGATGACAGAACTTGCGGTTTCCGCTCTACGTTTACGCGACACGGCGGTCGATGCCAGAAGAATTCGTATTTTGTCATCCTTGTTATCGATGCACCGGGAGCAGTTCTGTCAAACAATAAGTGCGGAATTGTCGAATTGTCGCGGCAGTGAATCGATCCCACCGCGTCGTTCGACATGGGAGACGGCAAGGAGGGCGAACGGCAGCCACTGCTGAAGAATGAGAACGTCACGTATAGCTCACACGGCAGCGATGCGATCGGTACGTATTAAAATACGTATACGTATACCATGACGAATACGACCGCTCACGGTTTTCCCGAAGGCGTGTCGCTTTTGTACATCTCACTGATGAGAGGTATCATCTCGTTCCAGACGAGACACAGTCCAACGTCAACACCGTCTCGCCGATTGGGCCGGACGAATTACCGCCACCGTATCAATCCGCGACTCAGGGTGGCATGCCGATGGTCACTTGCAGAGTCTGTCAGGCGATGATAGATATTTCCGGCAAGAGGGATCAGCACGTCGTCAAGTGTTGTCAATGTAACGAGGCCACAGTACGTGTCAAAAATCATTGTGTCCTCCACTTTATTTGTTTACTACATTTAAGTAAATAACGATGTTTTTTTCCTCTTTTCTATCATGAAGCCTATACGGAACGCTCCACCTGGAAAGAAATATGTACGATGTCCGTGTAATTGTCTGCTAATATGCAAGAGCTCTTCGCAACGTATTGCCTGTCCAAGGCCGAATTGTAAACGTATTATTAATCTGGCTCCGAGCCCTATTACACCACCAGTTCTGTCCATGCCAGGCATGTGCAGGGTAGGCTGTGCCCATTGCCATGATACATTCTTGGTGAGCAAAAATATCACAATATTTAGATAAAGAAATATTATCTTTTTTTTTTTCAATTTTTATCTTTCTATTGGGAGAAATTTTGTCTTTCAGTTTAACACATTAAATAATGCTTTGGCACGTTGTCCACATTGTCGTAAGATATCTTCGGTCGGTCCAGATTTTGCTAGAGGACGAGGGATTGTATTCATTATTGTTGGAATTATAGCCTTAGTAATTGCTATAGCTGTAACGGCAAGTATTTTAACTCGAATTCTTATGTATTCTTTATGTATCGAATGTTTCTATCTCCATAATATTAATTTTACGCTGTACATAATTACAGGTTGGGACCTACAAATACGTAAAGACAAGCGGTGGAATTTATGTCGCTTATGTCGGTAATTACAATAATCATGATTTATATTTTTTAACTTGTTATATATATAAAATTACATTAAATTATATGGGATTTTATAAAATGATCCCTGGACCACTGACAGCATGGCGCTTGAAATTCCCGCTGAGACACACTGTAAAATAAAATCCCTAGTATCGTGACATATGGAACAGCTGATTGTAGAAAATGGCGAGAAAAAAAATCCGCATCAATTAGAACAGTACTCGGAGATAGTTGCCCTTTTCGGGCCGATATGTGAAGCGACGCCTACGGTCCCTCCACTACCGCTCGAGGCTCGACGGCCGAGCCGCCGATCGCGCGCGTAAAGCCTATTGCACAATACAAAAGTACAGGCAATAGGAACAGTATAGGAGCGTACCGATCTAAAGCTGCTAGCAGAGAGAAGACTGAGAGACGCCACGGCCCTGTTTTAGCAGAGAGAAGACTGAGAGACGCCACGGTCCGGTTTTAGCAGAGAGAAGACTGAGAGACGCCACGGCACCGTGGCATCTCTCAGTCTTCTCTCTGGTCCGAAAAGGGCAACTATCTCCGAGCACTGATTTAAGTAAATGACGATGTTTTTTTCCTCTTTTCCATCATAATGCCTATACGGAATGCTCCACCTGGAAGCAAATGCGTACGATGTCCGTGTAATTGTCTGCTAATATGCAAGAGCTCTTCGCAACGTATTGCCTGTCCAAAGCCGGATTGTAAACGTATTATTAATCTGGCTCCGGGCTCTACAACACCAGTTCTGTCCATGCCGTCCGGTGACATGTACTGGGTAGGCTGCGCCCATTGCCATGTGACAATTATATGTTTGACAGCCGCCAACGGCACGAATATCATTGACGTGAACTTATGCAATATAACAGCCAATCAAATTTAGGCACAATTTAGCTTGTCGCACCGTCCCGCAGTGGCTTCACCCCCGCAATGATATGCTCGGTCCCTATATTTCTATGTCTATGGTCGTGTGTATTTTGAAGAAATGGCGGAAAATACTCTTCAAGTTCTTGTTGGCGAGAAAGAGGAGTTTTATACAATTATTGTATCGCCTGAAGAACATAAGCAAATATTGGGAGGAAGTAAGTCAGTTATTGAAGATTCTCTTAACTTAGGTTACGTTCCAAAACCTATTTACCGAGAAAAATTTTACTTGATAGCCCGGCTCGGGACCAATCAAAAATGCTCAAAAAGATTTTGGAACGGCTATCGAGTAAAATTTTCCTCCAAAAGGACATTTTGAAACAACCTAAACCTAAACTTATAAAAAAAATTTTTCTGAGAATATGGCTTAGTACTTTTATATGTTTTATATGTTTTATAAATTTCTATCCTTCATGTTTATTTATATATATTGCATGAACTGCACGAAATCTGTTCCGTTACTAAAGGCGCATGGTTAGTGCATGAAGTGTGGTGAAAAAACGGAACGGCCCCTGCATTTCATGCCATGCGTCAGTACCTATGCGCTCTATGCATGAAACGGAACGCACTCTATGCCAATGTGTTTAGAATGTTCCAAAAACGTCGAAAAATCATATTCCTAAAAAATGTCTGTATGTATGTATGTGTGTGTGTGTGTATGTATGTATGTATGGGTGTATGTATGTTCGCAATATATTGTACAATCTCCAACTTCCGCAATTTTTGAGATATCGGGTTAAATTTTTTTTACATGGATAGAGTTTCATTCAAGGATGGTTGGTATTTGGTGAGAATCGATGAAAAGGTTCATTTTTTATAAAATTTTTAATTTTTTGAGAAATGTCTGTATACATTGTAACTTTCGCAAATTTTGAGATATCAGGTTAAATTTTTTTACATGGATAAAGTATTATTAAAGGATGGTTGCTACTGAATTTGATGAGTATCGGTGAAAGAGTTTATTTTTTATAAAATTTTGAATTTCTTGAGAAATGTCTGTACACGCCCTCACAGCACATCAACATCCCAATAAGATTCCAGTCATCTTAAATTGTAAGGTAGTAACATTCCACGGAGATTAATAAACCTGCACTTTCTTTTTCTTTAATATGGAATCTCGCAAAAAATTCATAAAATTAAATAAAACGAGCTATTTATTAGTGTATTTTTGGGAATATTGAAAATATATATGTATATATATTTTTTTTCAATATGGATGATTTAAACTTTTTCAGACATTTATCTGCCCGATCTAAGAAACAATCAGTCCAATATCTGAATTTCCTATGTTAGGATTGTATCAGTAATTGAACTGATAGAAATAATTATATTTTTAATCTTTTGCCAGTTGCTCTTTGCAAGCTTTATATACTTCTCATGACTAAAAATCAAATACGAGATGGATGCATAGCGCGTCGCATAGCGATGAACAAACGAACTAACGGCTGAATACTATTTTTTTGTAAAGTTTTTGGAATGTTTCGCGCAATCATTTCTCATGAAATATTAAATAAATAATAATTTTGGATATATGAAAACGTGCACATCAAATATTTGATTATTAATATTAAACAATATTTTATAGTTTTGTAATATTTTCAGCATATGCGAAAAGTGAAATTATTGCGAGTAAAGTTGCTAAAATATTGAAATAAGATTCCATTAATCTTCCAACAATATTATAAAGTAAGGTTTTATTGTAAGATTAGTGGTATGTACCAATAACATGTTCCTTAAAATGTGTAAGTTTGTAACCTCCCTATAATCTTACTGCAATGTTCGGTGCTGTGAGGACGCTGTAACTTTCGGAAAATTTGAGATATTGAATTAAATTTTTTTACATGGATAGAGTATTATTAAAGGATGGTTGGTACTGAATTTGGTGAGTATCGGTGAAAGGGTTTATTTTTTATAAAATTTTGAATTTTTTGAGAAATGTCTGTACACGCTGTAACTTTCAGAAAATTTGAGATATGTCACAAAGCTTCCTCTATGAGGAAGCAAAAATTGAAAAATCCGCATGCTTAAAGCAGCTTAAGCTTTGTAAGATAAAATGATGAGGAAGCAATGTGCAAGTTTCTAATTTGCACAACTCTACTTGTTATCTTTCTATTGGGAGAAATTTTGTCTTTCAGTTTAACACATCAAATAAATCTTTGGCACGATGTCCACATTGTCGTAAGATATCTTCGGTCAGTCCAGGTTTTGCTAGAAGACGAGGGATTATATACATTATTGCAGCCTTAGTATATGCTATAGGTGCAACGGCAAGTATTTTAACTCGAATTTTTATGTATTCTTTACGTATCGAATGTTTCTATCTCCATAATATTAATTTTACGCTATACATAATTACAGTGGGAGTCCTACAGATATATAAAGAGAGAAGAAACAGAAAAAAGAGATTATTATTATTATATTATTTTTGGTAGGTCGATAGTTCATTCTTAGCACTCTATCGTTATTGAAAATTCTCGTCTATCTAATTTTGGATATATTTTTAGCTGCAGTTTTAGCCGCATTGTTGTGTTTGGTACGCGGCATTTATTTTTGTACAATCAAGATCAGTTTGATAGAAGAGCCCCTAGTCTTAAAAAACAACAATGAAGAACCTCCTTGAGAGATGAATGTCATATAATCTGTTTAGATCTGTTAATATACAGATAGTGGCTATAGAGGGCACTTCACGCCTCGCTATTCGCTAGAGTAGACTCTAGGGCCGGTATTCATAGTCAGTTCTTATATTTAAGACCGTCTTAAGTCCGTATCAGACTACTTTTCATTCACCGTTCTTACGCGAACCATTTGGCGCGAACACGTTAAGGGGATCCAAAAGCTCGTCTGTTTACCGACCAAAAATTATTATTTTGCACATTGAAATCTTTTTTTTAGTTGAATAGAATAATAAATCCTTTTCCACGATTTAAATACACATCGAAACAAAGATGAGACTTTACGAGTTTATGTTAAAAACGGAGAAAAGCTAAAAAATTACAGTTTTTTTACCGGCTTTTTGCGTTAGGTCATAACAATATTTGCTTAATATAAAAGTTTTGCAGTTTGTATGTACAAAATAAGATAGGTCTCCACTCGGAAATGCATGAAAGAATATAAGTGAACATTTAGAAACGTGTTTAGAAGCCTAGTAAAAAAGATCACTGTCTGCAAAATTTTGCAGTTAGCATCTTAAGACATTACTTAAGACGGTCTTGAAATAAGAACTGACTATGAATACCGGCCTAAGTCTTGCTTACTTCCGTTCCGCTTCGCGCCTTTCACGTTCCTGTATTAACCTATAATAAAAGGTAATAAAAGGTAATAAAAGGTCTCTTTTATGTGTTAAAGACTTTTATTCTTCCTTTACCCTGCTGCGATAATACACTAAGGTTGTAGGAAATTTCTCTCAGAGAAGTCTTGTTTTATGAAGAATTGATCCTCTGCAATTTTATATACGCAAGCATAGGACCAATTAACCTCTAAGGGCTCCAATTTTTAATTTCAATTTACTGACTAGAATACACTCTATAAATATATACATATACAAGCTTTCTACAATACTTTACGTGTATCGAGTGCACATAAATAAAATCAAAGTGCTCATAATTATTCCAAACATAAGTATATAGTAAATTTTAAAATACGTACGTAAGTCTATGCAAATTGTGTTTTTAAATTTCTTCTTTGTTCTATATATGAGTATTTGTTTCGAAAATATAAAAAAAATCGTATCAATTGTTTCAAATAAATTTCTGGATTTATATAATCTTTGACACATGTATGAGAAATTGTATGAGACACAAGTGTATGAGTGTATATATTAGTTATATCAATATTAGATATCGCAATTAATTAATACAAACTTTCAAATACGATTATTACACAGAGAATGCTGCACGAAATTTTTAGCTGTCGAAAATACATGCGAACGCATTTGGTCCCAGGCGTGAAAATAAAAATATATTTCTTGTAGTGTTATAATCGACCCTTTTCAACATATACACCTTATAATTTACACATTACTCTTTCATATATAAATCTTCCTTCTATAAATGTATCTTCCCTATATAAATTCTCTTACGATGGAAGATGTTACACTTGTTGAAAAAATAAATTTCGTTTTGGTTAAAAATCAAATGTGTATTTTATATAAAGTATAAATAAATTTGATGACAAAACAAACAATTAATCGTATAAAATAAATAATATATAATATATAAAAATTAATAATAATAATG